TATTTATAATCAATCAAAAAATATATAATCATATTATCGTTATCAAAAACAGTTAAATTTCAATCAAAAAATGTACAATATCAAAACAAATAGTTAAATTTTAACATTCACTGATGCTCGATGATAACTCAGTGAATGAAAGCTTATTTCGATGCTCGAAATTTTTGATCGATGATCAAATAATTAGTCATCGATTCCAATCTCTACACACGGGTTCATATTCCGTGCCGAGGCGCGGGATTAAATATGAACCCGTATACCTATAAAATGCAGTAATAGATCTAGAATCCAATATAATTTCTAGACCTGAAAATTCTCGTTTAACAAAATAATGAGTAGCTAATCTAACTAAAAAAATATTGAAATTAAAAAAAATTAAAAATGAATTTCGCCACCATCTACTATATACCTGGACTATAACAATTTTATTTAGCATTTACAACTGTTTTTATCTAGTAAAAAATTGACCGGATAATTGTTTGGCTGATTCAATAAGTTTTTGATTTCGGTAATGAGTAAATAAGTAATATCTTGCTAATAATAATGTTAATATATATCGATATCACAATTTTATTTTTGCGCTTCAGATAAGTTAGATATTATATTAGATTCAGTTGCTATTACTTCAGACAAAGCTGGATATTTCAGATTCAACAGTAGTTACTTCAGACAAGCTAAGCATTTTAAAATATTTGCTATAGATGAACAAACTAAAAACCCTTAGTTTAAAATTTAGCAAATTTGAATTGCTAAATATGTAAATTTACTAAAATGCATCTATGGTGCTGAACACCATAAATGTTATTTCTCAAAAACGTCCTAAGTAATTAGGGTCCGGAATTTAAAAATTTTTAGAACCCACAAGAACTAAAATCGGGATTTTATATCTAATCAACATTATGTTATATAAAATTTCTCCTTTTTTTAAGACTGCACTCTAACCCTAAATTTTAATTATATATGATGTTCAACATTATAGATGCATTTTATAATTATTGTATTTTTAATATTTTGTATTTTTTATATAAACAAACTAGACCAAGGTGTAGTTTAAAACTTTAAATATTGTTTTCTTGATTAATTTCAATAAATTTTTTTTAAAATTAATTTTTACAAGTTTGTAAGATTTAAATAAAAAATATTTATTTAAAATTTATCAAAATAGTTATCAAAAAAAACTTAGAAAATGCACATAGAAAAACTGGGACAGGTTACGCCAATCTCCGAATTGCAAATACAGTAGTAAAGAAAGTAAACTGTATTAGTAACGATAATATTAACATTTATTAATATAAATATATACAGTATTTAAATTTCGAAAAAAATGATTTAAATTTTCACTTTTACTTTACCACCTATGTTGCATTATCTTAAAAACTGGTTAACTAATTAATATGCGATACTCTAAGTAAAAATGCTCTACGTTCCCCAAAATTCTTTTTAAACCTTAATTCTAGCACTAAATATCATAATAACCCCAACATGAAAAAAATTTGTATAAAAACATATAAAAGGTGCAAAACCACCATAGGTGCGTTTTATAATTATTATAAATTTTTAATTGTAATAATGCAGAAATATATAACTAAACACTTCTTTATCTGCTTTAAAAAATGCGGAGATATAACTTAAATAAACCTATTTTCTTTATTTGCATTAACAACTATACAATTTTTTTTAACGGTCATTCTTTTTTATATATTTGTAACGCTTTCAAGTTTGTTCATAGCTGCCGTCATGAAAAAATACTGCCTTCAATTTTCTTTTTTTAATCATTATACAGAAATCACTTGAACTGGAATTTATGAATCGTAAAGCATTTATATTCGATAGATATTGTAATTTTCTTGTTGATATATTGCGAACTTTTCTATGATTGCAAACCAAGCAGTTTTTGCGGATCTTTAATATTATTAGAGAAAATTTTTAGTAGAACTTAATTCGGCGATCGGCGTAGAAAATAGTATCACAAAGTATCATGTGAACTGGTTGATTTTACTATCCAATCACATACAAGTGGTACAGCCTTATCAAGTTATAAATTTTCGATCAAGCTTCATGCAATTTTACATATTCATTTACTTGTTGACTTGTTGACTTATAGCAACATGGTAAGCAAATGGCAATGCTCTTTTATTCAAAATTATTAAAGTTGACGTTTCTTTTTTACAGAGCGTTCAATATACAACCCATATAGAACAGTCAAATGGTAAACGTTCGGAAAAATTCATTAAATAATTTTAGTAGAAGCATTACTAAATTTCTTATAACACAAATAGCACATTCCAGTGGAATTTGGTCAGCTAGGTGGTCTCCGCGTAGTAATGTAGTTATTACAGGATCATTGGACAAAACTATAAAAGTTTGGTGTGCAATACAACGCTTATCAATTTTTAAAAATTCACCATTTTGTTATAAAAATTATGTTAATATTTAACCTTTCAAAAAGGGATGCAGAAACTGGAGAATATTATCGCACTCTTCACGGACATAATTTAGGAATTATATCACTAGACATTGATCCTATGGGTGAAAGTACGTATTAATTCATAGTATTAAATCGTGTAATTGAAAGACGAATTCTTATACGACGATTATCCTATTACACAGTGATTGTATCTGTATCGTTAGATAATACAATCAGAAGATGGTCAGTAAATGATGGAATTCATCTCGAAACAATACAAGTCAAACCTGGTGAGTCGTAACATTATTACAGCGTTTTAGTATAATCCACATCGAAGGTTAATAATGAATTTTAGGTGACGCTTGGAGCTGTCAGTTCTCGCCGTCATTACCTGAAGTACGTTATTTTGCTACCAGCTCTCAAAAAGGAAAGGTAGATCTTTGGGACATTTCGACAATGCCTTCGAGTGTAGTCCAATCTTATTCATCTGGAGAAGGGAAATTTGGATTTTGTACGCGTTTTGTATCCTATTTATTTTTATCTTTTTTTTTTTTTTTTTTTTTTTCTTTGAAATTAAAGATTACTATTTGAATTCTTAAACAATATTCCTGTTCTTAAGAGCCCTAACGGTAAATTACTTGCATTTAGTGCTGAAAATGATTGTATCCATTTGTTTGATGTGGAAAGTGGAAAGAACATTCATAAATTTAAAGGTAAGGAATATATTCAATTATATTTTTACCATTCTCTATCATTCATATTTGTTATTTATATTCTATAGGCGAGACTGGCTGTCCTACAAGAACGATCGATTTCACGCCAAATTCATCTTTACTGATATCTGGATCTGATGATGAAACAATCAATATTTATGACGTGTATTTATCAAAATTCATGAAACATTTTGTAACAATAGCGATTTCTACAAAGGTATACTGACGTATAGTATTGACATTTAGACGCCACTTTAATCGTATAGGTAAATGCACAGGACTCGATGGTTTTGTTATGAGTGTTGCAGCAGCTGGAGATAATGAACATTTTGTCAGTGGGTAAGTTTAAGAGAATATATTAAATATGTAACGCTATAATTACAGTATAAACTAACTTTATTAATATATCAGTTCCACGGATGGGAAGGTAAAACTTTGGAACATAGAAAATAAACAATGCTTAAGCACTGTCGGCCAGCATTCTGAGCAAGTAAGAAAAATTAGTAAATTGAACTTTTTTTTTCTCTTATGAATATTATCTTAAGATATAAATTTTATTTATATAAGGTCTCCGCACTTTCTTGGAATCCCGATGGTGATAAATTTATATCTGTATCTGAAGATAGGTCATTGAAATGGTACACAGCAGCCTCATAAAATTACACATTGTAAAAAATTACTTGCGATAAAATTTTATATACATGTATTAAGGTAATTGTACGAATATTTTACGACAAACGAAAATAAAATTAAATAATAAAGATATTATGGTGGAATCGAAAATGCTATAAAACACTTTCACTAAAGGAAGTATTAATGAATGATTTTCGGAATATTTTATTTACATTTGTGCCCATCCATAAAAGCTCATATTATCGTCTTTTAATAAACCGCTAGTAGTTTGAAAAATGACAAATACAGTATTATGAGTAAACCCGGTGAATATCTTAAGATAGAAGACCTACAAAAATTTATCTTCATTATTGAATTTTAGGGAGTCGAATTGATGATTAAAGAGTATACGTGAATTTTTAATAGGGCTTATATTTTCAGACCATAAGTTTCAGCATCAATCGCGACAATAAATTTTAAATGAATATATACAATGAATGCTATACGATAATACATACTCACCAGCTTTATCGTAGTCAAAAAAAAAACTATTTACTGACAATAATGTGGATTATGAAGTGTGATTTTATTTACTTATAAGAAACAACATTATATTTGTTTAATTTCATTTCTAATAGTCCCAGTAAATTAAAAATGATTAAAAACTTATATTGGTTTAATGTCATTTCTAATTGTCCAAGTAAACTAAAAAAATGATTAATCTCTAAAAATTTCAAATAAAATAAATAAATATGAAAGTTCCCAAAAACAAAGTTAACCAAGAAGAATAACCTTTTTCAACAGATCTAGTATAATATATGTAACTGGCTGAACTACTGGTCGTTGTGGAATTACTTGCAGTAGAATTACCACTCGTTGTAGAATTACTATTAATGTAATTACTAGATTTAACGTTATTAGAAGTATATGCCCCACTAACACCTTTATCATTACATTTATATTTGATAAGATATTCTTTAGCTTGGTTAGATAGCTGTGAATCAAGATCTTGAGAGCAATCAGATTTACAATAGTTACTGATTTGAGTATAATTCAATGCAAAGCTACAAAGACAATTAGCACAATTTGCATCATTTGGATTATTGTAAAAGTTATTCCATTGGTCTTCAGTAATATTATTGCATTGTGGTAATTTATTACGACTACCTTTCCAACATGCATAACATGCTAAATCAGTTTGAGAATCCGAAGAGTCGGGAATAGGGTCATAATTAGATTCGGTATTAGTAGATGTAGATTGAGTAGAAGTAGGTTCAGATTGAGGTTCAAGTGTTGTGGATTGAAGCTGAGCCCCTGAATTTGTTGGTTCCGGATATGTATCGCTTTCTGTTGGGTATGGATAAGATTGAGGGTCGTTTTCTGGAGATTGTGGATGACGGCGTATTAAATGATGTTGATTTGGAGTAATATGTAAACCTTCAACTATCAAAGCAAAACATAAAAGAAACACTACAAAAAGAATGTTATTATTCATTTTTAATTTTATAGAAAGGTCTATAAATATAATGTATTTGTTAAGGAATTCGACATAAGTCTTCAAAATTAGGAAATTGATGTATTTATGTCAAAAACTTGATACAGCAAATTTTGCACTACATTGTATACAAAAAAAGTCGACTAATTTTGAAAAAACAATTAACTATTTGCGTTTGTAGTGAATGCTCAATTTATATAAGTTGCGCATGTACCACGTGTTTTTAAAAGTCGAAGAAGTCATCATTATCACTTTTGTTAGGAACTGTTTACTTAGTGTCATAAAAAAAAAACTTTGAAACATAACTTTTCAAGCAAGAAGTGATCAATTCTCAGTTTCTACATCTCATAATTGAAACATAATATCCCCTAAAGTAACGAGGAAGAGTTCTCAATCTTTTCTTTTTATCAATAATTTATTATTCTTTGTTATTTTTAGTATTTCTTTATTGCATATTCATAATTAAAAGTCGGAAAAGCTACCACCATTAGAATTAATGATTCTTTTATTTGGATTACACATAATAAACAATCAAATAAATTACGCATACAATTTTACCCAATTAATTAATACTTGTACCCTTATTTGGCAAACAATTCTTCACTAATTAATTTATTTACCAGCAAAGATGTTATCGCTATTAAATTATTATTGAACTTATTTTCTCTTTTTATTAAACACATGGTTTTATTGATATAATATAAAGACAAGTTATATTATATAGTTAATTTATAACTTTACTAATAGTACAGTTAAAAATATTTTCAACGTTAAGTGAATGCACGTCTATGTAATATATAGGATAGAACCAATAAAATACGTGAAATTATAGCTCACGTGTTACACTACAGCTGGTGTAGCAAGGTATTACCCTTACGCTTACGCTTTGGATAAAATATAAATGTCCAGACAAACAAACAAACAAATATTTGCTTCGGCGGTTTGCAGATCAAAAAAAAATTTCTGATTTCCGACATTACTTCTGATGACGTATGTATATCAGCTAATATTATATATATATATTTACTTTGAAATTTCATGATTCTTTCAGTAATAAATTAATTTTTTAGAATAATATAATTCTTATAAGATTGAATTTGGTGCAACTTTTTTGCTCATCATACAATAGTAAGTTTTATCGAGCTAAAAAAGAAAAAAATTTAATAATACACGATCAAATTCTTTACATGATTAATGTGCAATTTATATTCCTATAAAAGATACTAAATCAAATATGTTACAAAATAATGAATTTACAAAAATCAGAAATCATTGATCTGCAAATTTCGCAAAAACATTTTATCATTTTATTGACCATCGTTATTACTGTATTAACCACTAAAAAAATCAGAATATCGCATGTCATATAAGCATTTCGATTAATATTTCAAAGAGAGAATTAAACATTTATAAATCTCAATTTCTCAATTAACTTTTTATATTACAAACTATTCGCTTGTTTTTTTTTCCATTGAGCAATGTAAATAACTTTTTCATATTCGACTTTTCATTATTATTCTTCTCGAAACAAAACAAGCTTTTACAGTTTGTTTTTCAGAAAAAAAAAAGATTTTCTAGTGCACATCGTTTAGTAGCTTTAGACAAAGATAATGAGTTGTCGATCTCTTTACTCTGTTTTAACCAAGGTTGGCAATGGACTATGATGGGTTCTGAATAAATTGTCAATGGATATTGTCCATTGGGCCAATGGACATAACCCATTGGCATTTACTAAGCCACATTTTGGTCCATTGGCCAACCTAGGTTTTAACCTATTTATAGTCAAAATTATTATATTATTTATTTAGACTTACCCTTTTTATACAGTA